CCCCGCCCCCACAAGCCAGTCTGCGACCGGGCGGTGGAAAAAGAGGGTAAGGCCGAAGGGCCGGAGAGCGGGAGCCTCCAGATGAGCACACAGGTGTGTGGGCAGGGGCCCATCCCGCCGGAAACCCAGCCCGAGCATCGAAAGGAAAAACTCTCCTAAACTTCCCCCAGGATGTAGAGCGGTTTAATCTACCCTTCCCCAGCCGGCCGCAGTGGCGCACACCTGTAATCCCAGCACTTGCGAGGCTGAGGCAGGATGGCCAGCCTGGAGTTCAAGGCCGGACTAAACTACATAGCGAAACCCCGTCTTTAAAAAAAAAAAAAAAAACAAAAAACAAAAAACTCCCACTCCCCGCACCCAGACCAGTTTCTCTTCCCTTGGCCCCCTGAGCCAGAACAACACCCACTCATGATGGTCTCTGGGACCCTACCCCTTAACGTTCTTACCTGGGGGGCGCTTTTTTGCACACAGTGCCATCTCACACAACAAGGTCCTGGCAATCCCATGGGAGACCCTGCAGGAAGGTAACGGATGCAGGTGGCCACCAAGCAGAAGGTGACCCTTCCCTGCCTTCAGACCCTCCAAAGTTTCCCTTTTCTGCTCTGCCCTGCCTTTGCCAGCCAGGTGCACCAACTCTCCCTCTTCCTGCCAGGACTGCAGAGAAAAGGGGCTCCCCTCTGCTTTGGGTGACATGGAGGGCTGGTCGTCTACCAAAGTGAAGGCCTTCAGGGAAAGGGGGCACAGGCCCCAAGATGTCTATCCCAGGGGCAATGGCTGCCCCACAAACTCCTGGTGACGTGGTGTGGTGCCTGTACTAGAAAGCAGCGTTTCCCCAGGGGTGGGTGCTGGGAACAGAAGCAGGAAACACCTGGCAGGGCATCAGGAAGCTGGTGGGCAGGCTCCACCCTTCTTACAAGTCCCCCATCCGCCCCTACTGGGGCTTCCATTATCACCTTCCCCGCAGGCGAGTGCACTCTGGAGGCAGGGCTTCACTTCCTGCCCAGACAGTACCCAGCCACTTCCTCTCGGTCTGGGCAGCCTCTGCCCCTTGGGCTAGCAGGAGGGTCTTCTTCCTCTCTTGCACCCTAAACCTAGTCCAGTCAGTGTGGCACTTGCTTCAAGCTCAGAAAGCATCAGTCATCCTTCCGCCTTCCCACATCTTTACTTTCTCCCGAAAGGGCATAAAGCCTGAACCTGGAGTGGTGGCATAATCCCAGCTCCTGGAAAGGCTGAGGCAGGTGGATCGCAAGTTCAAGGCTAGCCTGGGCAACTACCAAGACCCTGTCTAAAAGTAAAATAAATAACAAGAGCTGGAAATGTAGCTCAATGGCAAAGAGTCTGCCTAACGTGTGAGGCCTTGGGTTCAACCCCCGGTACAACAGAGAAAAGAACGAGGGGGCGTTATTAGGGCTGACCTACAACACAGGCTCATAGAGCCTCGAGCCTGTTCTCCAGCCTGGCCCAAAGGTGAGGAGAGGTCTTCCGTCTCCGCCTCGGCCCCTGCCAACAGCCTACTGGAAACACCCCACCAGCCGGTCGGCTCCAAGGATACTAAGTCTCCCCAGCCTCTGTAATTACAGACTGCCCACAGCCAGTCCTCCCTGCACCAGCACACTCCCTCCCGGACCCCGACCAGGCACCACTGAGGACCAGAAGTCCTCTTCCTCTCTGAGCCTCCCCAAATGTGGCAGGCAAGGCCGCCTGGCTCGGGAAGAAAACATTTCACCCACATTTTAGAGATGCCAAGTCCTCCTCCAGGGCCCCCGGCCAGGGTCTCCACCCAGTCTAGAGAGTGAGTCACGGGGTGGGGTGCGAGGTAGCGCGTGGGGCAAGGCTGCAGGGCGGGCACGCAGGTTTCCCCGTCTCCCGCAGCGGGAGCTGGTCCAGAAAGCCGGGATAAGGGTCTACATCCCGCTCCCGCGCAGGAGCTAACGGGGGAGCCGGACGGCCGCCGGGAGCCAGGAGTGTGGAACCGGCCCAGGAAAGTTGTTTTACCTCTGAGACGCGGGGAGACTGAAGCAGGAGTGGCCCGGACACCAGCCCCGGGCCGGCGCCGGCCACAGGGACCCCCCCTTCTTCCCAGCCTCGCAGCCTGGGCTCTGGCCCGGGTCGGCCATCGGCCACGTCGTAAAATCAGGAACAAGACAAGAATGTCCTCTATGACTTCTCCTGTTCAATATAGTTCTGGAAATATAGCCACAGCAATTAGACAGGAGGAAGAAATAAAAGGAATAATGTTAAGAAAAGAAGAAGTTCAATTGTCTTTATTTGCAGATGACATGATACTCTATATAGAAGACCTCAAGAACTCCACCAAAAGTTTTCTAGAATTAATAACCAAATTCAGTAGACTA